AACTAACTCCGAATTAGAGGACAAAACGGGAACAATGCGCGCAAAATTGGTCATGGCAGCAAGGATTTGATGGAAACGATGGGGAAAAACACTCGAACTGAACTCTAACATGACCTAACCAGCAACAAGTCCTTGACTAGGATACAAACTCAACACGACGGAGTCTAAAACTGAAATATACAAAGGCTATGGCGCGGAAGGTTCTAGGACATGAAAAAAACGAGTATGGCACTGGACTATGGGACGAATGCGAAACACTCAAAACTAGAGGATAAATGTGAACCTAACGGTATACCTTAGCTCTGATTACCACTTAATGGGGATGGGGATCCTGATCTTCCGTCAGGTAGAGGTAACTATCGTTGTGGCGGAGAATGACACACCTATTCGGCTTCAGATCAAAAGATCGAACCCTGCAATCTTACCACCACAACTCCTCTGGTTATCAATCGAGACACGGATCCAGTTGATCTTGCCAAGAAGGCTAATCCCTGCCTACGCAACGAAGAACACAAGCAAGAACAAGAAAGAAAACAACCAAATTGCAGATGAATGATTAATCTCACGATGTTGGGGTCTAACAAACCGATGAACGGCAAAACTATTCTTGACAGATTAATCTAAGCAAAACCCAAAACCTAATGATGGTGGCGGCGTATGATTATAAAGGTCTTAGGGTCATCGCCTACACTAGACGCTGCCCCCTCACGAGCTCAAAGACGATACATGGCCCATTGGACCAAATACGGTGATGCAGCACCTAGACAAATTCTAGGACGCTGACTCGTTTCGACAATTCCTGTGGATTCCAAAGAGCTTTTGATGTGAGACTACTTTCATTGGCTTCCTTATCAAATTATCTTTCCAACCATATATGGATCGTCGAAAACAGTGTCCGGATGCGTCCTGGGTGACCAGTTTAAGGCAGACTAGTCCTGGAGGGCGAGGCAGACTCGAAATCATGTTGGACCCGGCCTCCGGTTTCTATTGGATGTCCTTGCTGGTCATCATCTCCTCCACCTCTTCCTCTAAGTTCCTCATGACCCTCTCCAATGTTCCTAAGCAAGATAACATCATTAGGTAGTAGTCTATTCTCAAAAGTATGAAAAGGATTGCTTAAGAATGAGCTCACCTCTAAATGGAGTTGATGCATTCGAGCTCGGGTCATTGGACCTTGCATGACGGTTGGAGGATCAGCGGGTACATCCGAAGGAGTGATGTCCTCATCTCCTCGGTTGGAGGATGACGTGTCGGCCTGGCACGAACCGATTTGGAGAAGGCCTGTTAAGGTCCAACTCAGTCACCTCCAACTCACATATACAATGCCCAAACCCTAATCTAGAATCTCTTGACTCCCGACAGCGCTGCCATCTCCCTACTCCTGATCCGCTCGCTCCTCTCCCCTCCCTCGATGGCACTTCAAACTTGTTTCTCTGCTCGCTCCTCTCACCTCTTGTCTCCCCCGACAATGCTTTTTCTCCACCTGGTCCTCTCCCCTCCACCTGATAGCGCTTTTTGAGCCTCCCTAATTCACCCTCGTTCCTCTCGTCGCTCCCCTAACAATGCTTCACCGAGTGGCACCATCAAAGCAGCGCTACCGTTGCACCCAGCGCCCGGCCATGGCAGCGGCGGAGTAGGCGCGCGGTAGCGGTTGAGTAGCGAGGCGAGTGAGGCAGCAACACCCAGTAGTGGAGCAGCGCACGAGACAACGGCGACACAACAACTCAAGCCTAGCTCGGTGCGTCGACGGCCAGCTCGGCACAGCCCAAGCCCTATAAGTATGTGCCTAGGCTGAAGGCGCAACCTGTGGGCAAGCATGACATGGATCAAATGTTCTAGGCATGTCATGTCAGCCCGACCCTCATTGGGCCATGCCCTTAGGTGGGCCCGGGCCATGCCATGCCAAGCTACCCATTTGGCCATCTTTAGGAGGGAGTAAAACTGGAGCGACATAAAACCAAGGTTGAAGGCGGCAGGCACAGGGAGGCGAACCAAAACTACCATGGGAAGACAGAAGATGTTTTTCCGTCTTCATTAGTGTAAGTAGATATAGGTATTGGACAACTGATGGACAATTTGGAGAGAGTAAAATGCATTGGTGGCCTTTGAACTTGTCTTCCTGTGTCATATAGTTCCCTAAACTCTCAAAATGTCCATCTAGCTACAGAAACTTGTCCTTTGCTACCACACATGGCCAAACGGGCTTAGCCTCAACCCATTTGCTGAGATGGCCATCCACGCTGGCAAGGAGCAAGTTCTGGATTATGAACAATCATCAACACTAGTGCTTCCACATTCTGGATGAGGAACTGCATTCTGCTACCCTAGAATAGTTGTGTAAAAATCAGGCAGCTCCTTTGGTAGCTCACAAACTGGATTCACAACAATATCATCCTAGTTTAGACAAACAAAGGTGTCCTCATGGTCCAAATATACAACCAAAGTCTTAATCCTATCCCCAATAGAGCACATTGCATTGGTATCTAAATCCCCTACAAATGATCCTAAGCCCATCAGCTAGATCCTTCCCAGGTAGCAACCAATAAGTCTTCAGAACATGTGTCTTTGTGTAACCTAGAAGCTCAACAAAGTCATCGAGCCAAAGGATGGACCAAGTATCAACTTCACAATTGCCAAACCAGCTGATCTTTCCATCCACATACCTCCTTAAGTGACTATACCCAACAAAAAACCCACCATAGTGAAGCTCTACTGTGAACTCTTCATGACTGTCACCTACACACATGATTTGTGCACAAACATAGAAAAAAGAGTAGACTTTTACTCACATTCATCAAACTGTACAGTACTAGTTCATGACAAAGATAGTGCAAATTTATGCTACAATTCATCAAATTTGGACTCAAATTCTATGTACAGTATTAGTTCATGACAAAGATAAAGCAAATTCATGCAACAATTGCATCTTTCATGCACTAAAAAACAAGAGAAACCATCAAGATTCCATCACCTTTGTAATCAACTACCCCCCCCCCAAAAAAACCCAAAATCCCAACAGATAAAAGCCTAAAATGTAAACCCTAATATTTGTTTACGTCGGAGGAGGGGCATCCAGCATCAACTACTCCACCAAATAAATAACAAAGGAAAACAAGATTACACATTCACTACCGGACTCCTTGAGTTTGCTGACTGCCCGAAACACTCGGCAAAAGACATAAAACACTCGACAAATGGTTCGCCGAGTGTAACACTCGGCGAACAACACTCGCCAAAAACAGTGACGGCAAAGCCAACTTTGCCGAGTGTCTTTTATCGGGCACTCGGCAAAGCCTTTGCCGAGTGCCGACACTCGGCAAAGCCTTTGCCGAGTGCCGACACTCGGCAAAGTTAAAACCGAAAAAAACCCGAAAAAAATAGGAATTTTTACTAAAAAAATGGAATTTTTTTTATCGATGGAGGCCTCCACCGGCCAGCGCCCACCCATCTACGACATTTTCGCGTGAATTTCATGGCTACGCGGCCGACGCGATTCAAACCCGAGACCTCCCGCTGTGCACGTACCTCCTCTACCACTACACCACACTCTCACTTGTGTCTGGATTCCGTTTTAGTTCTCAATATATTATACTAAACCGAGTGTAAATTGCATGTTTGAGGCCCTAAACGAATTCAAATAAAAAAGTTGTAAACTACAAAGTTTCATAACTTTTCGAGATCTACACTTTTAGTTTAGGAAGTTTTTCCATCCGATGTCGTTTACAAAATTTAAATTTTAAAATTTTGAAATTCAAACACAGTTTTGCATGACAAGATGTTTTCAAATCAAAAAGTTGTTAACTACAAAGTTTCATAACTTTTCGAGATCTACACTTTTAGTTTAGTAAGTTTTTCCATCCGAGGTCATTTACAAAATTTGAATTTTAAAATTTTGAAATTCAAACACAGTTTTGCATGACAAGATGTTTTCAAATCAAAAAGTTGTCAACTACAATGTTTCATAACTTTTCGAGATCTACAGAGTTTATTTTGGTTGTTTTTTCATCCGAGGTCGTTTGAAAAGTTCGAATTTTAAAATTTTGAAATTCAAACGCAGTTTTGCATGACAAGATGTTTTCAAATCAAAAAGTTACCAATTACAAAGTTTCATAACTTTTCGAGATCTACAAAGTTTATTTTAGTTGTTTGATCATCTATTCATTCGACATGGTCGTTCTAACATTGTTCACAAATCTTATATATCTCTCTTATAGTTTCATAAACTACAAGAGAGATATGTTAGATTTCTAAACAAATTTATTTTTCACTTTGTCGTATGAAGAAAAGACCAAAACAAATATTGTACATCTTGATGAGTTATACAACTTTGTAGTTGAAAACTTTTTCATTTGAATTAATTTACTGCTTCAAAATGTGCTTTGAAATTTTCTTTGCCGAGTGTAAAAAAAAACACTCGGCAAAGAAGCTCTTTGCCGAGTGTTAAAAAAAACACTCGGCAAAGACCCTCTGTGCCGAGTGTAAAAAAACACTCGGTAAAGACGTCTTTGCCGAGTGTCCGAAAAACAACACTTGGCAAACCACCTGGCACTCGGCAAAGAGCCGGTCTCCGGTAGTGATTTGGGGCTTTGGGAACTCACTGTACGTTGGCGTAGGGTCACCCTTTAATTTCTCCGCAGTCATGGAGCCATCGCTGACTGCCGCTAAACAAGTGCTTTTCCCAATATAAAAACCCACCAGAACCCGCTCCTTGCCAGCATGGATGTCCATGTCGGCAGACAGGTCGGGGCTGAGCCTGCTTGGACTCGTGTGGACAAGTTTCTATAGCTATGGGTATTTTAAGAGTTTGGAGACTTATATGATACAAACAACCTAAGTTTGAGGACCGTGAGTGCATTTTACTCGTTTAGAGAGGAACAAAATGTCGGTGGAGAGCTGCAATTTTCGTCTTATTCCCTTCAGATTCAGTGCAGGACCGTGTATACGAAGGAACTCGGACAGAGGAATATCACATGGAGATCCACGTACCCAACGCACTAACTTCAATCCGACCGCTTCCCGGAACGACGCTTGCTTGCCGTGCTCTGTTGCGGCGGAATGCTCTGGTCGTTCCGGAAGTAGTCCGTCGGATCCACTGCCCCTTCCACCGCGGCGAGCCTCTGAAAGTTGCCGGCGAAGTACTTCTCTCCCCACACCCTGCCGCTGTCAAACGTGCTGACGTCGTTGACCACCACGTTCTCGCCGATATCCAGGTCCCGGTAGTTCACGTACGTCTCCCTCGGGTTGTTGCTCACGTATTGCTCCATGTAGTCGTAGAAGCTGCTGATCCAGGTCGTCGCCGCGGCGCCTTGTTCGTTGCCCGACGACCAGAACGTGATGTACTGGATGTTGTAGAGCACGCCGCTCCGGTGCGGGTACGGCGTCGCCCCGGCGGGGATGGTGCCGATGAACCCGCCGTGGGGCTCCAGGATGATCATCCCGGCACCACTCATCGTGAGCCAAGGGAAAATGTTGCTCCACGCTTCCTTGGGGATGGCACGCCGGACGTAGTCAGACTTGTTCTTGGTGAAGGTCCTCAGGCTGGTCTTCCGGTCGAGCAGCGCCTACACCGGCGTGTAGCGGTTCCAGAAGTTGAAGAAGGCCGCCGACTGCAACCATGTCATCTCGAGGCAGTCGGCGCTCGTCATGCCGAGCTCCGGGAAGGAGCTGTTCAGCGTTGGCACGAGGTCGCTGCAGGTGCCTAGGTACAAGGACTGGAACGTTGCTCGCTATCCCTGGATGATGACCCTGATAGTGATGTCGCTGGGGAGGTCAGCCGCGACGTCTTGCCACTTAGTCAGGACGTCTATGGCTCCCTGGTCCACCGTCTTGAAGATGTTGAAGGCCGTCACCGTGGATGGGACTTTGACGAGGCTCACCTTCCACACGACACCACGATGCCGAAGCTCTCGCCGCCGCCTCCCCGGATGGCCCAGAAGTGATCCTCCCCCATGGCGGCCCTGTCGACGAGGTCGCCGCTGGTGTCGACCAGCTTGGCGTCGAGCACGTTGTCTATGGACAGGCCGAACCTGCGCATCATCATGCCGATCCCGCCGCCGCTGAAGTGGCCGCCCACGCCTATGGTGGGGCAGATGCCGGCAGGGAACGCCATCTCCGAGTTGTTCTTGGCGATGGTGTAGTAGAGCTCCCCAAGCGTGGCGCCGGAGTCGACCCATGCCGTGGGCACCGGCCGCTCGTCGTCGTCGCTCACGGTGATGGCGCGGAGGTTGGACAGGTCGACGACCCCGAATACCTCGCCGGGCCGCTCGGACCGGTACGAGAGGACCTCGTAGTCGTGCCCGCGCTGCGCACGCGGAGGCGCACGCCGTTGGCGCGACCACACCGCACGGCAGCCTGCACGTGGGATACGTCGACGGGCGTGACGATGCCGAGCGGCCTCACCATGGCGTTGCTGAACAGCCGGGGGTTCCGGACTGAGGACACCAGCATGTCGATGAAGTTGCTGGCGGCCTGAGTGTAGATGAGCCCGCTAGGTATGTTCTCCGACAGGCATTGGAGGAAGCCATCGGAGTCGGAGGGGGTAATAACTGAGGATACATTGGGGAGGCAACAAGAGGAGAAGCAGCTAAGGATGAGCACTAGTGCTAAGCCTCTGAACACTGTCATCTTTGCTTCTTGCACTGACAATACAACAGTATGCTTTTGTTCTTCATTACTTGTGCTCGAAAGCTTATTATATAGGAGGAGTAGTACGGCTACTGGTACTAGCTAGCTAGTTGATCTGGCTCATCACTCTGGGAAGCGTGCCCGATTAGTTTTAGCCCTAGTTGGCGGTCAACTATCCGACAGAGTTACATGCATGCATGCATGCATGCACGAAAACAACATCAAATCGTGGATCAGCAGCCTGTTCGCTTGCTCGTAAACGATCGTAAATTTTCAGTCAGAAACAGTGTTTTTCTTTCACACCAAATCAGCCAGCAGTAAATAATCCACGATACGATCCGAACAGGCTGCAGATAAGCAACCTGTGAGCATCTGTCACAAGCTCTTGGAACACATCGAAGGTCGGTATATTAATGAGATCTCGTTGATCTTTCAGATCTGGTTTGGCTGGAGCATTTAGTACTACTGTCAAGTGTCAACCACATTCAGGTTAATATATTGTACTTCTATATTATACCTACCTTAGCAGCTGGAAATATGTGCCTCGCTTGGGCTCGTTTGGCTTATAAGTCATAATTTTTCAGCCAATAAATAGTATTTTTCTCTCACATCAAATTAGCCAACAGTACTTTCAGTCATGACTTATCAGCCAAACAAGCCCAAACGAATAGGGCGCATCGAAAATGTCGTTCCAGGACATTTAGGTTTCCATTCCGCATATAGTAAAAAACATTACAAAGTATTACTCCATGTTCCCATTCCGATTCAATGTTCTCGTTGCACTGTTAGGAACCGCATTTTCACATAGACGGTCGAAATTCATTTCTAAAGGCGGGTTGCGCACTTGCCTTCACATGATGGTCACTGTAAATCGCAGTTTTCAGAGACGGGCCATTTACCCATCTCTAGAAATAAATTTTGACATTAAAAAATACCAGCTCGGCGAGCCCATGTGTAGGTACACCAAGCCCGAATAGGAAGCCCGTCCACCGTTAGATACGAAGCCACGACATTGCACTGCCACAGGAAGAAGAGTGGGCCGCCGCTGTCACAATCTGTGTTCCGGATCAGGCCGCTAGTGTCGGCGAAAGGAGAAGCCACCATCGAGCATGTAGACAAAGCCCGTCGTTGACCCCCTTGCCCCTATGAATGATAGAGAATACACACAAGGGGTGGCACCGACAGTCTGAACTCAAAAGAGAAACCTGATGTCCTCACCTCTCTGCATGTCCCCACGCTTGGATGTCACCAGTCCCACATCATGCATCCTCCCTACTGCTGGCTGTGAGGGTAGAAGAGAGGGAGGGGAGGAGAAAGATGAGGAGCGCGCTGGCTGGTAGGTATGAAAACGGATCGGATACGGACGGATACCACTGATATTACATTTGTTTTCATATTTCTATCCGGATTCGGATTCGAATACGAATAGTGTCAACCATGCCGCATAAGATATGATTGGATATCGCCATCATAAATATGTGATTTGAGTATTCGGATACAGATACGGTATCGGATATTGAATATCCGGATTCGGATACGGATAGATCTGAACCCCTCTAAACGGATTCGGTCTCGAATACGGTCGAAAAATATCCGTACCATTTTCACCCCTACTGGCTGGGAGAGAGAGAGATCGCCGCCCCCCTCCCCATGGCCAGTGAGGTGCTTATGTGTCACGCATCTGCGGATCCGAATCTGCTGGATTGCTGGGGCCTGGGTAGAGTCATAGAGAAGAAGAGGAGGGTGCGGAGGGAGAGCACGAAATTCGAATACACCCAAACCAGAGTGATGAGGACATCACATGCCTAGATACAACCACATTAGCAACTTTTGATTCACAGGTGAAACAATCCTTTACCATGATTGTATTTGATACATTTGATGAATTGATGCTGCACCATGATGTATGTTCATTGTCATTTTCAGAAATACATACATGGATCAAAAAGAGTGTTAAAGACACATGGAAGGCATGGAGGACCAAAGAAGTTGATTAGGGGCCAAGTACAAGTATTCCCAACATCCTCCACCAAGACACCACGTCACTTTTGGCCCAAGGAAAGAAAGAGATCAAATCCAACACGTTTTGGGGCTGGATTCGGACTCCAACACTGCACCAACTTACGACGGCCGCCACGACCTCATCCGGACTCTGTTTTGGGCGTTCAAGTACTCCATGGAATCCTTATGAAGTCTATTTTCATATGGATTCGGACTCATGTCTATATCTTTCCTGAGGCGTCGGCAATGATCAAATTACTACTGAGAGGTTTTTCTATCAAAGGTGTTGTGTCGCTTTATTTTGTCCCGATGGGCCGTGTATCAAGTTGGGTCCATTAGGGATGCGTCCTAGGGTTGGAGCACGACCCCAACACCTTGGTGGTCATCCTTTCACCTTCATATACCCCTTAGCCACCACCAAGAATAGTTGGGTTTGTTTTGTTGAAAGTTTAGCCATTGATACTTCTTTGTAGACGCGTGTGTTGACTAGACCATCCGTTCTACTTGATTTAGAACCCCAACTTTGTGGGTTCAGATTGGTTTTTCATCTCCATATTTGCAATTGAGTTGCTTGTTCTACTTGTTCTTGCTTGTTCTTCGATTGCTTGTAGGAATTACCCTAATGGTTTGGTTGATCGTGCTCCACAAGATCGTGATGGCCATTGGAGGTGGTGCATCGGTTGCTAAGGCACAGCATCCTTGGATGGTTGTAGTCAGGCCGTGAACGTCATCTCCATCCCCAAATTAAGTTATCCACCTTCTCTCATCGAAAGATCAGGATTCACTCTAGCGGGTTCATATCAGTTGGTATCAGAGCAAGGTTTATCGGTGAGACACTTCGAATCCTTCGCTGTTTTTAATTTTTCCTATAGTCCAGAAAAGCCAAAAAATAGTAGATTAGTTTACCCACAATCCTATAAACCCTTTGAGCCTGTGCTAGCACTGCTTAGTTAGGGCTTGTTGAGTTTTTGGTTGCATCGGTTGTATCGAGTTGCTGGTCTTAGTGTCTATTCCTTTAGAGTTTTGAGTTCTATCACGTTTTGGTCACCACAAGATCTACCATCACCATATACATATTTGCTTCGTTTTTGCCACCATGGATCCATATGATGTCCTCATCATTCTCCCCTTCCATTACCAAAGGAAGTATGAACATGTATGGTTAAGTCTATCTTTTTATGGAGACAAATATGAATAAACGAGTTGGTGAACAATGAGTGACCTTTGCATATCTGAGTATACTTACTGGCAGCATATGTGGATGGAAGTTGTGAGACTGCTATAGTGGTGGCTTGATTGTCGTGGTAAGCAAAGGCTTTCAGAGGGGAGAATCCTCCTCCTTCTCTTTCTCTTTTTTATATATCATGTTTTCTTTCATAATATATTTATTTATTTTTTCTTTATAGCAAGGTAGAGCTAACATCATCTTTTTCTTTTTCTTTTTTTGTAGGTTGGTCTTTGGCATGTATGGAACTTTGGACTCTCACCATCCTTCCCCACACTTGAACTTTTGTGTGAAAGTCAAGTGTGTAGGATCAGGATCTCCTTTTTGAGCGTGTTTCATCACCAAAGATCATCAAGGTATGTAGTCGATGTAGCTCTCATGTTTTCAGGTATTGTATGTCCCTTGTTCTTCTTGATCTTAACCTAAAAGGGTTAGCACACCAGAATACCCAAAGGTGCATACTATCCTGACAATATGTTCTTGCTTTTTATTTAAAAGGAAAGTTGGTTTTTTTATAATAATCCTCTTTTTTATGATAATCCGGGGTATTTCCCGGTAGTGCTTTGTTTATGGTCGTAAGCTTGACCGTGGGCCATAGTGCAACTGTGTGATTTGCAGTATTTGTGATAAATGAAGACATCTACAACCATCCTCTTAAAAAGTTTGCAAACAAGGGCTGAGAGATGGTTATGATCCTCGTGAAAGCATGTGGCACTAAGAAAAATGTCCATGACCTACAAGCTTTTGTTCTCAAGAAAACATTGGTTGAATGTAAACCACTACTGAGAACGACGTTTGGATGGCCAGAGGGAGATTGCTTAAGTTTGAGCGAGGGTGATGGTGAAACGAATGGGGTTACGAACTATACCTCCTCGAACGGGTCATTGTTGGGATGATGCTCCGCCATTGGGATATCTAAGTGAGTGGCGAAAGCAGTTTTCCTAAACTCTTCGTTAAGGCTTCCATGGGAAGGTTTTTCTTGAAAAAGTATTTCGGAAGGGTAGCCTATAAGAAGATCAAAATTGAGGATGGCATAGATGTGGAAGTCTAGGTGAACCTCGATTTCATTTATTATGATTGGCATGGCCTTGGCAATCCCACAACACTCAAAGATGAGTTCTGACAAACTTTAGAAGAGTTTATTTGTCAGGACTAGTGGCATGTTACCTAAGAGGTTTTTCGCTAGGAATTCTGACATGGTACTGGTCCCGACTAAGGGGTTGTGCAGGGCTTCTACAACAGTCCCCCTTAATGAACAAGGCATTGTCGTGGAAGGTGAAATAATCTAAATTGCTTTAGAAGAACGTTTCACTTGCATTAACCATTCCTTCGATGGTTCTGCCTTGGGGAAAACTTCCTTTATGTGGTTTTCATGCCACAAATATTTTGAGGTATTGTCATAATCCTCGAATTTGATAGGGAACTCTAAAGGATGAATTAATCTTTCCTTCGATGTTCGTGGTTCGGGTGAGGGCTCATGAGTTGAATCTAAGGATGGTATAGATTTGGATTCGACTAATGAGGACTCCTCAACACTCGACATGACTTTTGCCTAGAGGGTTCTATTTCTCATGACGGGGGAAGTGTAACTTTCTAGGAAGTTTTTAAGGAATTTCACTTGTTCCGTCATGGGTTTGTGTGTAAACCGGCCTCCGGCAGTTGCGTCTAGGCATAAATCAGCATGCATGTTGATACCCAAACGAAAGAGACGCAATAATACGCCATCGAGTAAAGACAGGTCTGAGCCAGCATGTATTAACATTGAAAACCTGTC